TCTGATCAATGTAACATACTACTTGTGTCGACAGACATGTGTAGCATACACCACAATGCTATCGACTCTTCCTGTACCGTTTTGCAAAATCTAAGATGATCCAAAACACCCTGAGGAAGCTCATCACCAAAAAGATCTATTTCTGGACCTTAAGAAGCAGATAACACTGTCTTGTGTTGATAGCACAACACCTATGGTAAATCTTCCGAAAATTGCAGGAATCCCTGAAGTTGCCCAAACTCTGGACATACTATCACAACAAACCTTTCGAGAAATTACTTTGCCGGGACACGTTAGCAACAACCGGAACTAGTGTATATGGCTGTCCTAAATATATCACTGATGTGGTGACGAAACTTCTCTAACTCTTCGTCAGTGGAGCAGATGTTGACGTCTTTATTGCACCCCAGCATCCATAGTCTCCTTCATTCTGACAAATCATCAATGATAGATTATACCAACAAAGATTTTCTTTCTGTATAACACATGAACCAGTTCTTCACAAAGATTGCCCTGGCTGTAATGAATAAACTGAGAAACCGCCCATGAGCTGTGACAGTATCGTCACCTTCTACAGAACCTTTCAGAAGAGGGTTGGAAGCTTATTTTAATTTTGTTGGTATCGAAAGGTATTACTCAAGGTGTTAAGCGCGTTTTAAAAAATGGTAGTAGTTTTCTGCTTGTTGTGAAATAACTTCGCTTTCGTGCGGTTATTGCATCAAAAGAATATTCTGTTGACCTTAATTATTCCGGTTAAGATTTAGAATTTTCTCAAAATCCTTATGTGGTACTCTATTTAGTTATCACACAACTGATTATGCTGTGTAGTTTATCACGTTTTTCTCCTTTCACTTCTTTTTAAATGGTTGGCTTCACTCATAAATTTGCATATCCAGACTGTTTGCCCGTTGTTGAGAGAGGAAGGCGATGTGATGAATGCAAAAAATGGTTCCACAAGATGTGATTTCGTTCAAACCCCACTGCAGTCTAAAGATGCACAAAGCTTAGCTTCCTTTGTACTATGTTTGAAGAGATTACGAGACCGCCTAAGTCTGCGAAAGGAACGAAGACTCAGCGACACAATGACAAGATAAGTTAACTAGTGTGATGAGCACCCGCTCCGCTAACTTCATTAGGAATTCCAGGTCCAGAAGGGGGATGTATAATCTAAAAGCAGTCAGAAGTACGAACAACAACAAGCACAACTTGGGCATATATATACAGCTAAAAAATGTCCTTGGCAATCGTCACGAAACAGCACATTAAAGAAACAACGCACCAATGACATTTAGGGTACTGTCAAGTTAGAAATACAATCTGAAGACAGACATGGGTATCTTTGACGCGAAAATGAGAAACTCAAGTCTCTAAGATAAAGTTACAGAAGTAAGATGTTTACCAAGGGAGTTCTGGGGATCAAGCATCCCCAACACTTTGGTTTTGTATGTTTCGCTGTCCGAGCAACTATACGTCTGGAGTTGACCAGCAAGATAGTCTGGACTCGTAATATGAATACTGACAGCGAAGAATATGTTAGTGTAGTTAGTGATGTTACGGACGTGCCAAACACCCGGCTTTGAAACATGAAAAAGCAAACTTATGTTTTAAAGCAAATAAAAGGTGAAATACCACTAGATATCCGTGTTCATGACTACAGAGTAGCAAATGAAGATTGAGATAAAAACTACTCTATCTCAAGTGGTCGCGGTACGGCTGTTCCAACTGACCGGAAACCAGTGGTGTGGGAACAGAGGAGAGGAAACGTGGCTGCAAAGAGCACCTATTTGTTTGATAATTCTTCGGTAGACTGACACTCCAAGTCACAGAATACTGCACCAAGTTCCCAAAGCCAGACTGGATTTAACACTGGCGTGGTTGGAAAAATCTTGATATCATAAAATATTACTGTATTATGCTCGAGTCAAACGACTTTGATCCACAAACAACTTAAGAAAAGCTCTCATTAGTTAGCAAGCAGCAAATAACAGCACTATTAAAAGCCGCGAAGACGACTTTAAAAGAAGGCAAACTCGTTTTTAGTCTAGATACTTAGAATCTGAAGGAGTAAAATTGACCCTAGTATAAGGCATATACACGACTGAATTTTGTGGAATCTGCTCTCATAGGCAGAGGTTTGCGTAAAATATATTACTAAAGTGATAAGACTCGGTAAGCGAGATGGAGACGAGACTCAACGGTAAAAGTACTTGAACTTGGTACTCGGAATTTACGAGAAAAGGGACGTTGTACTAAATATCGCATACAAAACTCATAATTCGAACATTAGTATCCGACCAGATTAGTCAATTAAGAATTGTGTCAAATGGGTGATTACCCTTTCTGTGTTAAAATCCGGAAAGAAACTTAGAGCAACAAATCTTAGGATCCATGGTTTTCGAGTAGTCGGGTCTTGAAAGCCAATCCTTTCGGACCGTCTATGGGTATAACGAGTGATTGTGAAATAACCTAAATGTATGCTACGTAAGCCCTCATAGTTTTAGAGATAAAATATCCAAACTAAGTTTGATGGCGTGTGAACTAAGTCTCTTTTTAATTGTTGTCAAAGGAATATGGCTCATACTAGACGCAGAGTATTCTCTAATTATTGCAAGATACATCTGTATTAGAAGCGATAAAGTTATAAGTCGCATGGGAGGGGGTATAAAATTGTATCTCGTGTATTATTCTCGTTTGCAATCGTGCACATTAGAGGCGCACGATAGTGGTACATATGGGATAGGTTGTTGTGAAATTAAATCTAGACATGGGTTAGCAACTATGAGAGGAATATACCATAGTCTATGTTGTCTTACCGTCGACTTTGTCTTTAGTTGTATCTGCTCTTAGCGTGAGGCAGTTTATTGTTTCATCATTGGAAGTTTCAACGCGCCGTATGTCAACCAGATGGAGACTATTCTATCTCAAAAGATTGGTCAGTCACAGCAGATGGGTCGATTGAAAACGAGTGGGATTAGTTTATAGCCACATTCTAGTCCGTAACATTACCGTTCACTCAATGGTCAACACGTAGGCTATCACATTGCCCTCTAGAGATCAGTAAAGAAACCCGAATGCTGTCGAGTCGTAGGAAACACTTCTGGCACTTGTTCTCGTCAACAGGCCACGAACCATTTAAATAAGAAGAACGAACTATCCGGAATATATATAAAAAGGTCATAGATAGATGTTTCATCACTTTTGAAGGACAATCGGCATATGATATTCCTACCTGCCCAAAACGACTGTTTTTGTCCATTAAACGGAGAAGAAAGCGTAGTGATGGTACTTCTTCATTATTGTTGCACGAAAAGTCAGATATACTAGCTGATTAAGATCTGACAAAGGTTGGGACTCTATCAATTTACTTCAGTGAAATCTACTCACCGGGTACTGTTGATAACGTATAATAATCACAATACTGAAATACCAGCTATAGAACACGTACGTGTGGCTGGGGAAGCTGTCCTTCAATTCCCCATTAACCCCAGACCTATTAGGACACCAGATCCTGGTGGGTTGCATCCATTATTCCTGTCATCTTTTGCAGACATTATTTCAGGGCTCCTCACGATTCGGTTAAAAATGTCCCTTTCACACACTCAACTCACTAGAGATCAGAAAAAAAGCCATACTTAGTCTCCAATTTAATTATGAAAAGAGATAGGTCGTGTCTAGCTACTGATCTGTTGGCCTTACTAACATAGTAATTAAGTTACTTGAAAAAACAATTTATTTCAGGTAACATAGAACCATACACTCTGTTAACTCCCAGGCATCACGGGTTTCGGAATAAACATTCATGTTCAGCCAATTTACTAACTGTGACAGATGATTAGAGAGTAGCTCAAGATAATGATATATCTCTGGGTGTGTTATCCATAGACTTTAGCAAAGCATTTGATAAGGTTTCCTACTTGAGTCTTATTCGGAAGCTCTCGCGATTTAGAATAACAGGTGTCGCACAAAAATAGATAAGAAACTTCCTCTTGGACGAAGACAGAGAGTGGGGGTAAGTGAGACACTATCTGAACGGAAATCAGTCAAAAGTGGTGCATACCAAAGCATCTCCAGGCTGACCAAGACGAATTATTCAGATGGTTCCAAAGATGGGGCTTAGAAATTAATTCTAGAACACCGGACATGCTAATAGTTACCAGTATTCTATAGACGGTACAACGCTTCCACGCACTTAGGAACATAAAGACGTTGAGGTAACAACAAGTAATGGTTTAAAAACGATCGTGCATTGTAACGCGGCAGCAGCCGAAGCTTTTCTAGCAATACGGTCACTTTGCTGAGCACTCAAATGCTTTGAACTATATATCCCAACGGTATAAGATCACAACTAGAGTACTTTGTCCAAGCAGTCGGTTCATGTCTTATTAGGGATATTACCGCGTTCGAGCGTGCTCAGCATGCAGGAACAAAAGTTAGTGGAGGGTCTTTCCAAACTCCATTACGATGAACACTTAAAACACATGAACCCTTTCCCCTTATCGTATCGTTGAAAAGGAGATGACCTTATATTGGAATTCCGTATGTTTAGTGACGACTTAGGCGTTGATATGTCGTATCCTTTCGCCTTCGGAACCAATACTCTCCAAGGCCATAGCAAGAAGATTCGAAAACCGCGATCACATAAACTCAGAGTGGGGTTCCATTTTCTGACCTAGTAGTCCGAATCTGGAACATCTTACTCGAACAAGTGGCATCAGCCCTATCAGGGAGCAGTGTGAAGGATATTCTGGAATTTTACTGGAAAACAGTTTCCGAGGAGCAACACAGGTTCACTGGCGCCCTTTCCTTATTACTGGGAACTAGAGGACTTCTACTATTATCAGCTGATTTTTCCCGCTTTCCAGTTCGAAAAGCAATAACAAAAAGGTTGTATCTTACCACAATAATGTGTTATCTAACACCACTCAAACACTAAGAGAAAATAGTCCATTAATTCTACTTGGCAAAGCTTTGAAATTTGAAGTTTGAAACGTGGATATTTCGAAATATCTAGTCAGCTGATAATGAGCGCTAGTGTGGTAGCGGCTCTGGTCAAGTTCGGTGAAACCCTTGGAGACAAGTCGGTAGACACAAGTTCGGTTAGTAGTTCAATAGATTTAATTTTTCTGTCACGTAAATCTTTTTTCATCCTAAAACTTTGCAACCAAGGACCTGGTTAAATGTGTTTATTCACGGATAGTGTCATTCCACTCGGATAGTATAGGTCACCAAAATACTCCCAATGGATTTGGATATAAATTATTCTGACTAGTTAATGTTGTTTGCGGCTTTCACTAGAACAGTTTTGAGTTTTGGTTACTATATCATTTTCCTTTTCTTTCCATATCAGTATTTGTGAAGTTGTTGGGTCATATTCCACACATTCTGCGTTACTGTTTACACGAAACCTCAACGTTAAATGAAGTAGGAACAAAATCTAAAATTGGACTTCAATTTAATCAAGGCATGGTAATCTAAGAAGTTATTGTAGTGATTAGACTTGTCTGGAGATGCGTCGTCTTCTTGGTAGCGTCTTTAGAGTGATTATACTTCGTCGTCTAAGTTGCTTAATAACATGACCCACGGATTTTTATAATCACAACTTAGCCTCCAAACGTTGTCGCTTCAATATTCTGTGTATTTTCCCTACCTCCACATTCTCGTTTTAATATTCCCAGAATAGTATATTTCGTTTTCTTCTGCTTCGAAATGTAATTACTTGAAGTGATGAATCCGTAAACGACCTATTTTCATCTCTGACAGATTTGTTTGGAGAATAACGAACACATGGTCTGGTTTGAAGCTTGCTTGTTACTGCTATTCACATTAAATCTCCGGTACGAATTAACGGGAACAAACCCCGTTCAGTACTCAAGTTAAGGTTAGTATAATTGGTTCTGCGCTTTAACAACTGACAGTAGTTCTATCATCCTACAGCGATGCTTCATAGAAACGTATATGTAGACACCTAACTTCGTAAATATTTTGTCATTGGTTAAAGCACATTCATAAAATAGTACAAGATACATTACCAAGCATACACCTCGTGATACCTTACTAATCCTTTTGATTACCCTCATTCTGCACATTCATTCCAGACTTATTTTATTCATGTGATTCTTATTTTAATTCGCACGTGGTTTGAAATATATCCAGTTTTCACGTCACTCGTCAGTTCTCGTCTCAGTATTATCACAAGCTACTGGTTCTTCACTGACTGACACAAAGGTTTCGTCACTTTTTCTTTTAGAAACTACGTGTGCTAAGTACACTCAATGAGGTAAAGCTTACTCTTAGTGAGTTATCAGAGTCCGGTGTTGGTCGTGCTGTTCGTAAATTAAAAAATGAACCCGGTGAACTTGGAAAAACTGCTAGTACCCTTATATTAAAATGGAAAAATCTGCTCAGTGAGCATATAAAACAAGAATCCATAAATATCAGTGTACCCAAGGATTCCGAAAAATGTGATGTTAATGAAACATCCAAAAGTCTCAGACAGACTTCAAGTAGAGGCAAATCAGCGTCGGTTATCAGTGAAAAAACAATCAATTCGACTAAAAGTCCTGAGAATAATTTAGGGAGAAATGTGCAACATTTAGATGAAGATGACGTGGTCCCAAATGCTCAAAATAATTCGCTACTTCACACAGCTGCAACTTCTGGTTGTCTTCCAAACAGTTCTACTTCTGACGATTCGTGCTCATATTCTAAGGTTAACCATAAGTTTCCAGATAGTAAAATTAAATCGACATCTAGCAAAAAACGAAAGTCTACAGATATTGTGGACTCAATCGACTCTTCTAGTGGAATGTCGTTTATGGATTCATTAAATGTCAACGCAAACACTCGCACTCATCGAAAGAAAAAGTGTAATCTAACCAGTGCTTCAAGTGATGATTCTCAACAGGGCGTCGACAGAAAGCTTGATATAACTCCTCTGAATATTCCACTTCGACCTTCTGAAGCATTTAGTGCAGAAATCATCTCATCACTTTCTGAACCAGTTAGTCGTCCAGATGTCGTTCATCGTCCACCTAATTTTCAGCTAAATGAAACAGGTGAGTAGTTCTCCAAATATGTGCTTTTTAAGTAGTTAATTAAAGTTAAGACTCCAGATTCAGTAATTTTCGTCTTAATGTAGATAACTGGCGAGTCCAGGTTTGTGTAATGAACCTCGAGGATCACATTGGATGCGACAACTAATGTATTTGCAGCGGATTTCTGAATTACAAACCAATGGTTATTAGTCAAGTGGCTTATTCACCACCTTACCTTCATTTAACTGTTGAACTCAAATATCTTTTAAGTATATTCGATTTTTTTTCAGCCGTTATTTATTCTGGTTCCCCAAAGTTTGGTTTTTTTCTTGTTGACAAATACAAAATTTGATATCTTTGTAAGTTGTAAAACTAAAGCGAATGTTAAAATGTGTTCACGTTTACTTAAGTAATAGAGAATATTTCATCGTTGCACGATCTTTCTGGATATGTCTACATTATGACAAATTTTAAAAGTGAAATTACTTCAGAAATTAGTCCTATTTCGTGTCTGAGTAGAGTTAATTTTATAAAGCTAGTTACAATTAAATCTGATGAGCAGGCTTCTTTTATAGGTATCTCAATCTTCAGGCATCTTAAAGAAGGTTATCTCTTATTAATGATCATTTCTAACTTGTAATGGCTACCATTTTTGCTGTAGTGACAAGGTAAAATAAATCATATTTGGGTTTAAAAACGTTTTGAACACGAGATTTTTTCGTTTGCATCTTGTTATCTCAAACAAATAAACGTAACCTTTAAGTATATGGGCTTTTTGGGGCAAGCTAATATGGTAGATGTGGTGTTATATGCTAACCACTTGGACGATTTCCCGTCCTCTCATATTGGCAATCAAGAACGTTCAGAATGAAAGCTTTTGGAGTGCTATCCATGTTTAATGACTAAATGAAGGTTTCGGTTGTGTCAAAACATAAACTAGACCTGCAAATAACCTGCTTAGTGTTCCCAGTATGCTGACTGGTCCTTCGGAGATAATGATAAAACATAATTGTTGAGGATCCTCAGTCTAAAAATCACAGGTTTCACAGACGTAACATCATCACTAGCGTTTACAACCAACCTTCTGTGACCAGAAGTTTTAACTGTTCTAATAGTGCTTCTGATTGATGTAAACTAACCTAGTTTTTCATATAAAAATGAGTTATTTACACCATTTCTACCACTTACAAGACTTTTAAACAAATTTTCAGACTAATAGTAACACCTTACCACAAAAGGCAAGTATGTGGATAGGTTTTTATCAGTCGTGTTGGCACACATTGCACTTTAGTAGTACTTAGTGTGTTCCTTATACCAATTAATTCAGTGGAATTCGAGTGACCTGTCTGTCATATTTTTACGGGTATTAAATCTACACAACACTTCTGTTTTTTAAACATCGACAACGGCAAAATTCAAGAAAAGTGACAAGTTTTTGCAATTTTTATTAGCTTCTCCGATGTTTTTGAGCATGATCATATCCTCTCATTCTGCCTACCATTCCTAGACACCTCTCTTTCACAGATAATCTCCAAATTTAGTTCTTCAGATTTCCATAGAGTTGTGTTCAGATGACAATTATTCCCTGTAGCATATGCTATCAAATTCAGTCATTTGATGGAAGATACAAATGTGGTTAACATACCTACGGTTTAAATGAAACCCGTCTTTATCCCCTCCGGCAAATATGGTATGTTTTACATCATTTGGCCAGTAAGGTGATTTACTTATACCAGAGGGAAACTATACACATGTTATTGTCACCTAATCTTCACCAGGCTGTTAATACATGAGTGAGACAATGGTTGCTAATCGATTTACCATCAACCTCAGATCGTTTTATCGACATGGCTTCCTGGTGCTAGTGATTAATTTGTACCGAAACAACTCTTAGTAGCCATCAAACATGGCTACGGTTTCCTTTTCAGGTGAAGCGCTTCTTACATGAATTTGCGAGATTTCGCGTAATGGACATAAGGATAGACTTTAAAAAGTTCTAAAAAACCGTATGCTTATGATGGAACCTTGCAAAATAGCAAACATTTTCACCTGCTTTTTCAACCAAAACGTGTTAAGACAACAGAATGTGTTTATGCGCAAGTGATGTGAGAAGAAATTTCATTCAACTAAATATTGACTACGGTCTGTGTATATTAAGAAAACAGATCATTTTTATGTATGAAATGAATCAAAAATGCCACAGCCTGCATTAAATGAAGATAAGTGAACAAAATAAAAGAGAAATATATATGTAATTGAAAGTGTGTATTATTTTTAATGTTCCAGTCAATTATTTAGCATATTCAGATAAGATAACGGATCTGAATTATTGAACGTATTATCTATCAGTTAGTTACTATGGCATAGATATATCAAATTGCAAAAAGGAGATCAGGTTTACTTATTAATTATTAGTTGCCATGGGACAGCTAGTTGTATTCCATCTCTCCTATTAATATTGTTTGAATTAGCCCATATATGTAGGGCTTCGGCTGTTAGTCGTTCTTTGTAAGAATTAGATCCTTTTTGAATGATTCTCGTGCCATTGAAATCAATTGTATGACCCGATTCAATCGAGTGTCATGCTATCGCTGATCTGTTCTCAAGCTTTTTTACATCAATTGAGGATTTAGGAATGTGCTTTAAGCACAGTTTGTGTTCCTTCACTCTCATATTCAGTTGCCTTGATGTTTCACCTACATACGTTGCATTACAGTCATTACATTTGATTTCATAAACACAATTTTGTTGATCATCCTTGTGTATTGGATCTTCGATTCTTGCTAGTTTTGATCTTAGAGTATTGTTTGTTCGAAAAAATACTCTTATATTTTGACGAGTTAAAATCCTTCTGATATCTTCTGAGATACCTTTACGATATGGGATCACTACTGTGTTCATCCAATCTTGCTTAACTCTTTTTTTTAAAATATCATTCCGTTCTTCATTCTTAATTATTCTTTTAATAAAACCTTTCGGATAATTATTCATTAATAGAGTGGATACAACTAAATTCATTTCCATTTTTATATCATTTGGTTCAGTGACAAGTTTTTTTTACTCTGGTGATCAAATTTTTGGCCACTTTCACTTTGGTCGAGTGTGGATGCGCAGACTTAAAATCTAAAAATTTCCCTGAATATGTAGGCTTTCGGAATATATTAATTTTTAAACAATCATTATCCTTCCTTTCAACCAGGCAGTCTAGAAAAGGTAATCTGCGTTCAGGCGATTCCAACTCTTTAGTAAACTTGATTTTGTCATCTAAGCTGTGGAACCGTTCGAATAGTTCGATAATTTTGTTGTTTGATTATATTTTCCTTGAAAAAGCTTGGACCAGATTGCCAGGCGAAACGTTGGATTTACTTAAAATTCATTCGCTGAGATTTTACAAATATATTCTTCTTTTTAATGTGTCACATTAACTCGGCGCCCAAATATTGTGAAACTATTCGTTCAAATGTAGACGGAAGTTCTTATTCACTAATTTAGTGTTTGGAAGTAGTGGACAAGAAACTCTGAGCCTAGGTTTCGTGCTATTTGCCACTCATTAGCAAGGTGTACCTGTAATCTTGAGGCGACGTGTTCTCCCTGGCCGATTCGATGGCGTATCACTCAGCTTCACAGTCTAAGACGTTACTGCCAAACTCTCCGGGCCACTACCTATCTTCTGTGGGAAATCTACCTCCAAACACCACCTTAAATCTCAACATCGCGCACGCGATGTCGAGTCACTTAAACTGGTGTAACTTGGTTTTATAAGCACTAAGAAGGAATTGAAATGCATGACATTGGTCGCTACTCAGTGATAGACCATTTGTGAAAAGTGTAGTCAATGCTTGCCTAAGCTTCCTAGTGAGGTAGAACTGCGTATATGTAAATATCTTTGGTTCAAAGTGGCTTGAAATCTGTCACAGTAGTACAGATCCTTTGAATCTAAATATTGGACGCTTTGTGTACTTAGTTTTCCGCTTCCTCTTATATTGTTTTAGACTCCTTTGATTTCCATCCTGTTAATCTTACTCATTCTTTGCAACAACGTGGACTGATTCATTAATGTATAGTAAATTGTACTGATTGACTTAGTTATTCAGTTGAATTTACATTAACGTTATATATTTTTTTGATGTGTAGAAGTACACTTTAATTGCAGTTTGTGTTTTCCTTTAAAAAAAAAACTTTCAGTGGAAGACGATTTCGATAATGGAGATTTGAAATTCAAATCAAAGAAAGTTCTTTGGGTACCAAAACAAAACCGTTCATCGTTACCTCCTAACAATCATTCGAATTCATATGATAATTTTCCTGGTTTCTTTGATCCTCCCAGTTTAATTGATCTTTGCGTTGATGTATTGGCTCGTAATATAAGTCATATTAATCATTTCGGACAAGTACCTTATGAATTGCTAGCGAAAGCCTTACGTAGTGCCTCGGTGGATGACTTGACCAGAATTGAACGTTATAATCCAGTAAGTTATACTCTTGATTTCTAATCAACTAATCTAAACTAAATGAGCTATTTGAATTTCTCCACATATGACTGACAACTTGTTTTTTCTACACTAAATTTAATTGGTTCCTGTCATTGTCCACATTTACTCGGTTGAGGTCCATGTGATAACCGTAATCCTCTGTAGTTGGAGACTTCCCCTTGATATTGAATCGCAGTATCCATTCATGAATATTTTTCCGCTCTGTCTTGAAATCATAGTCCCACTGTTTATCCTTTCTTTTTATCATTAGCACTGCATTACTTCGATCTCGTATTTTATTTTTATCTCGACGGCATGGTGACCTGGGTCAGTGCATATCTATACCAGGTTCTATGTTGGTAATTTCTGTCCGTCATTGTTTAGATACAATAATAAATATTGCAGTAAACAACAGAGCAAGGATCAATAACAACTAATCACGATTGAGATCAACAGGGTATACTGTTAGTCATATGTAGAAAGTTTAAATAGCTCTCCACCATTTCGAGTTTGTGCTGATGATGTCTCGAAGGACTGTAAACAGAGCTAGAAAATCTATTCCAAAAATAAACATTGGATTTAAAATTTAATTTCTTTATTTGCATTACAATCTAGTACAAATTAAAGTAGCACTTGTAAAATGTTTTTATTATTATGCATATATATTTGTTCCATTTTTACGGGTAACGACTATTAGACATGTTTTCATCACTGTGATGATTGTTGTCTTTAGTTTTGTTAGGCGATTAATATCTAGTTCGTTTTGCTTCTAACTGTTATTTAATAATCACTTCCCGCTAATTGTACTCTTGAAAATTTCTAAATCATGCATTAATCGACACGCTTTAACCGAAACTCGGTTTATATAGGGAAAATAAAAGTCAGTCTGTTGGGGAATTTCCTTACTTAATTCAAGTAATATAGTTATCGAACAGTTGAGTTTCACTACTTCATGTTTAATTAAAAATTCATTTTAACTTATAATATTCTAATTTTAGTCTAATAGTCAATCACAGTCGCTCAACGTTCAACAGTATTTCTTTACTGTCATATAACCAAAAACATCTTCAGTTTATTTTCTGTGTTAATCCTGTAGCAACTAGAATGAATGGACATATGTCTCAGGTTTTACGGTGTATATGATTGACTGACCGACTTGTATGATGAGGCGACAACTTCATTTCTTAGCTACCGTGGATACTCAACGGCATATTGTTCGCAATACCTAGGCAGCTTGAATGCTCTTCTCATTTCTATTGTGAATATCTGGTGATGGTGTTTTCTTATATTAATCACCAAGTACATATTTTTATCTATATTTGACCTTAAGCCACGCCGACCGATTGGCCAAACTGAAGTAGGGATAGGGTGAAATTCGAATTTACGACATACTGGTTGAAAGCTTAGTATTTTAACCACTAATTCATTGCTTCACTGATGATGGTTTTATCTGGACAGTTATTTTTAAGTAATTCATGTCAAGTAGCAGATCTATATCCAGATAATATTTGTTAAAATTATAATTTTTAAATATAACACAAGATTTCTTTATTAACTTATTCATATATTGTTTTCTTAGCAATTCGTTGGATTAAATGATGATTTATGGCGTAAATATATAAATCGAGATTTTCATCATTTATCTAATATTCGTCGTCGACCAGATGAAACATGGTGTGATTTTTACAATCGATTATCTAAAGAAGAAACAAAGCGTTTAGATCGAATTATTTCACAATCTGCACGTAAAGCCAAAGAAGAACTAGAAAGTAAGTTAGTTAATAAAGTTATTATACATTGAAAAAAAAACCGTTGTCAATAATTGTAAGTACTTTTTAGACAGATAGATTTATATGGTATGATTTATTATTATCATTTACAATTCAATACTTTTTAGAGTTACACACACATAAATTTACACGAGAAAAAACAGGAATTGTGTAGTAAATGGTTGTTCAGATAAAATGGTAGTATTTGTTATTTGATTGTTGTATACAATAATCGCAATGAATAAAATTAATGACTCCTTTAAGTTATGAGTTATGTAATGCTTGGTTCAGTCAGTAACAACGTAGAACTTCGCACGTACGTACATCAGTTCGAGTTGCCACACCACATTAGTACAGAGATGCAATGGTCGATTCAAATCCCGTAGTGGTAAAGGTAGTAAAGTTATAAGCTGTAATCAGAAAAATTATGGTTTGAAGATGTTATTCAAGGAGTATAATCCAGTGAAATAAATTTGGAAAGAGAAAAAAGAAAGGGATATGAAGAATTCAGAAGATTAGGATTTGGGAGAACACAAAGAGTGGATGCACTTGCACCATTGCAAACGATTTTGAGCCATGTCATTCAGGGTCTCTAACCATCGGTTACTATCATCTCGCGGATCCCAACCAGGTAGTCTACACCTATCAACATGGCTCAGTCCACTTGTCAGTGACTTCATGAACTTGTGCCATATTTTGGTCTGGCCACCCCTAGCTTTCTTCCAACCTACTCCTACACCATAAAACATAGCACATCGAGGAAGTCGGTCGTTGGGCATACGCAACACGTGTCCCAGCCATCTCAACTGATGAAGTTTCACCACTTCATCAATTGATTTGCCATCCTTACCTAGTACCCGTTTCCTAACAACTGTGTTACTTACTCGGTGGTCCCACGATATACGAGCAATGTTTCGAATACTTATGTGATCAAATACTAGTAACCTACGAATATCCTTTACTCTTACCGGTCATGTTTCACTGCCAGTAAGAGTAATACTTGGTTACTAAATATACACTTATATATGTACAATTGGCTTTGAGTTGCATTGTAGATATTAAATCAAATACTACTATACAGTTTCTCAAACCTGAAAGAAGGTAGAGTGTAAACCCCACTTTATTTGTATTGTTTTCTTACATCCAGTTAATATTATTAGCTACAACTGATTGATCATTGAGTACTGATTGATGTAATATTTGTCTAGTCCTCTTAGTGTTCATGGTGTTCTGTCGTGCAAGTTAAAGTGTAGCTACTAGTCGAAGTGACTGGACATCACTTGTTGATCAAATTCTGTCGTTCAAGTTCAATCAACATTAAGGCACTATATAAAAATTACATTGGTCATTACTCATTTACCAATTAATTGTAAATATGTAAGTTCAACATGTGATCAGAATATGGCCCAGTAGTAACATCTCATGTTAAAACTAGGTGAAGTGGGTTCGAATCCCACAGGACCATCAGTCCCTTCATGGTTACAGATACACCTTGTTGACGAGTTCTAACTAGTACAAAACCTAGGACATGCAAGGTTTCTTTCCGACTACCTTCAACCATAAAACATCAGCATGACATTATCAACTCTCACATAGTAAGGCCGAGTACGCAAAAATGTAATTGGCAAATCAAATAAATGATTATTATTATTGTTATTCTATTTATTAGTGATTTGTGTTTCGTCTAATCTACTGTAGTTTGGATTCATTATTCCCCACACTTAAAACCAAGACACAAATATAGGATAATATACGGTACTATTCAATATGACTATAAATTTAACTTATGCAAAGTACTCAAATGAATTGCATCACTGAGGTATACAGCTAATGAGTTCAGCAAAGTTTGTGCAATCACATATAGAATATAATAAACAGATAAATGACTAAAGAACACAAAAATAGTTACTTGTCACAAAAGAAATACGCCTGTGACAAACAAGGAGGGTAAGTTTGTCATTTAACGATCAATTAATTTCATCGATCAAACTCAAACTTGCAACAATTTTTACAATCAAGATGTAAGAACATCAGTTAATTAAACTTTTAAGTAATATGAACTCGTTAGTTGTTTAACAGAAAAAAGACACCTCATACAATCTAAAAATGTAATTATACCCTCAAAAGGTAGCCCAATTCAATCGACTCAAGCTGCAATAATTCAAACTTAAAAAAGCATTATGGCAGCTCTCGTAGGAAAGTGGTTAAGTAAATTAAAACTAAGAAGGTTAATAAAGGCCGATTAATAACAGTGATATAATAAGAAAGCTGGAATTGCAAGTAAATTGGATAATAATATTCGTCGTCAACCAGATGAAATATGGTGTGACTTTTACAATCGATTATCTAAAGAAGAAACAAAGCATTTACTTACTTACGCCTGTTACTCCCAATGGAGCATAGGCCGCCGACCAGCATTCTCCAACCCACTCTGTCCTGGGCCTTCTTTTCTAGTTCCATCCAATTCTTGTTCATTTTTCTCATGTCTATTTCCATTTCTCGGCGTAATGTGTTCTTTGGTCTTCCTCTTTTCCTTTGGCCTTGAGGATTCCATGTGAGGGCTTGTCTTGTGACGCAGTTCGGTGCTTTTCTCAATGTGTGTCCTATCCACTTCCAGCGCTTCTTCCTGATTTCTTCCTCCGCTGGGACCTGGTTTGTTCTCTCCCACAGTACGTTGTTGCTAATAGTGTCCGGCCAACGGATCTGAAGTATTTTGCGTAGACAATTGTTAATAAACACCTGTATTTTCTGGATGATGGCTTTCGTAGTTCTCCAGGTTTCTGTCCCATACAGTAGAACTGTCTTGACATTTGTATTGAAAATCCTGACCTTGGTGTTGGTTGACAGTTGCTTTGAGCTCCAAATGTTCTTCAGTTGTAAATATACTGCTCTAGCTTTGCCGATCCGCGCCTTCACATTTGCATGAGATCCACCCTGTTCATCAATGATGCTGCCCAAATACGTAAAGGTTTTTACATCTTCCAAATCTTCTCCGTCAATTGTGATTGGATTGGTGCATTCTGTGTTGTATCGGAGAATCTTGCTTTTCCCTTTGTGTATATTGAGGTCTACTGCTGCTGAGGCTGCTGCCACACTGTTCGTCTTCTCCTGCATTTGTTGTTGCGTTTGGGATAGAAGAGCCAGATCATCTGCGAAATCTAGATCGTCAAACGGCATCCTAGCTGTCCATTGTATCCCTTGTTTCCCTTCAGATGTTGATGTCTTCATGATGCAGTCGATCACCAGGATAAAGAGAAAGGGTGAGAGTAAGCAACCTTGCCTGGCACCGGTCTTTATTTCGAACGACTTTGTCAACTGTCCTCCATGCACGATTTTGCAGTGTAATCCATCATATGAACTCTGTATGATATTGACTATCTTCTGAGGCACGCCGTAGTGTCGAAGAAGTTTCCATAGTGTTGTTCTGTCCACGCTATCAAATGCCTTTTCGTAGTCAATGAAGTTGATGTAGAGTGATGAATTCCATTCAATTGATTGTTCCACAATGATGCGTAGAGCTGCGATTTGGTCTGTACACAATCTATCCTTACGGAATCCTGCCTGTTGGTCACGAAGTTAGGCGTCTACACAGTCCTTCATCCTGTTTAACATTACCCTGTTGAAGACTTTTCCCGGTATTGAGAGAAGAGTGATGCCCCTGTAGTTATCACACTTGCTGAGATCGCCTTTCTTCGGTATTTTGATCAGAAGTCCTTCTTTCCAGTCTTTTGGTACTTGTTCCTCATCCCAAATCTTATTGAAGAGAATGTGGAGTATCCTTGCAGTTGCCGCTAGATCTGCTTTTAGTGCCTTTGCTGGAATGTTGTCTGGTCCTGCTGCTTTTCCACTCTTGATTTGTCTGATGGCCATGCTGATTTCTTCAATTGTTGGTGGGCCAACATCGATAGGGAGGTCTGTGGGTGCTGCTTTGATGTTGGGTGGGTTCAGTGGAGCTAGTCGTGTCATACAATTGTCTCATGTTTCCTTCTCTTGCAGCCTTTTCCGCCGTCGTTGCTATATCATCCACATATTTACGTTTTTCGGTTCTGATGCTCCTCTTCACTTGTTTGTTTACTTCTGTGTATTCAGCTTGTGCCTTGGCTTTTTCTGTTCTTGTTCGGCTGGTATTGATCGCTGCCTTCTTGTTCCTCCTTTCTTGAATCTTATCGTGTATCAACAGTGATCCATTCCTTGCGATGGTGCTTCTTGTGACCCAGGACCTCATGACATGTTGAAGTGATTGCCTCTTTGATCCCCTTCCAATTGCTCTCCACAGTAGTTCCTTCTCCATTGAGTAGATCATGAAAGGCCTGGAACTTGTTGCTGAGGACTATCTTGAATTTGTTGAGTTTGTTGGTATCCTGAAGAAAGGCCGTATTGAACTTTTGTGATATTGTCTGCCCCATTGTCCAGTGCTTCTTGAGTTTCAATTTCATCTTGGCGATCAGCAATTGATGGTCTGATGCTATATCAGCTCGTCTCTTGGTTCTCACGTCCTCTATAGTCCTCCTGAACGTTTTGTTGATGCAAATATGGTCGATTTGGTTTTGCGTAGAGTGATCCGGTGAAGTTCATGTGGTTTTGTGTATGCGTTTATGTGGGAATATGGTGCCGCCTATGACCAGCTTATTGAAGGCACATAGATTTGCAAATCTCTCACCATTTTCGTTTCTTTCTCCTAGTCCGTGTCGTCCCATGATGTCTTCATATCCAGTGTTGTCCGTTCCAACCTTGGCGTTGAAATCTCCCATCAGAATGGTCAGGTCCTTTGTTGGGCACTTCTCGACTATTGACTGCAGCCTATTGTAGAATTGATCTTTAGCGTCTTCATTGTAGTCGTTGGTAGGCGCATAGCATTGGATGATGTTCATTGAAATGCCCTCTTTTTTTGTTTTGAACGAGGCTTTGATGATCATTGGTCCATGAGATTCCTATCCTATAAGTGCATTTTGCGCTTGTTTGGACTGCATCAATGCAACTCCTTGTGTATGTGGTGCATTTTCTTCTTCATGGCCGGAGTATAACAGGAGCTCTCCTGTAGTTAGTCGTTGTTGTCCAACTTGTGTCCAATGTGTTTCACTGATCCCAAGTACCTCTAGGTTGTATTTCCTCATTTCTTCAGCAATTTGGAAGACTATCACGGTGTCCCACATTGTACGAACATTCCATGTACCTAAATAAATGGACGCTCTGGTTGTCAGAAGAGGCATCGGCCTCGTAACTTCTGAAGGAATTCGGCTTTCATCATGAGGCGTCATAGTTCTTCTAAATGAAGACCTTCTGACTCCCAGGGCAGAGTTTAAAAGGTTTTCTACGGGATGGGGACGCTAACCCCATGCCCAACCCTCTTCCTTTATCCGAACTTGGGACCGGCGGTAGCCCCCGGAGGGACTCCAGGCGGAGTTAAACAAAGCATTTAGATCGAATTATTTCACAATCTGCACGTAAAGTCAAAGAAGAACTAGAAAGTAAGTTAGTTAATAAACCAGGTCTGTTGTGAGATATCAACTCACTGAAGACAATGGTGTACGTTGGTGCAACTTCGTGGATTAAGTGAAGTTAGACATTAACACCGTTGGATGCCGGCTCAGTGGTCTAATGGTTAAGCGCTCGCGCGCGAGACTGATAGATCCTGGGTTTGAATCTCGCCGGGGGCGGGATCGTGGATGCGCACTGCTAAGGAGTCCCATACTATAACGAAACCGCCGTCCAGTGCTTGCAGGTTTTCCATGTTGGTCTAGCTTCAATTGACTCATGATTTCAACTATTGAAACTTCTGAAAAAATCTCCACAAAACCCCTTGTAGTGGTAATAATAGTTTGATCTAGAACCAAAAGAAAGAACAAATAGGACACAAAAATGAAAGTACCGAATATAATGTCATATTTAGGATGTGACAAGAAGTTATTGTCACATATAGTGTATAGGTGAAGAGATTTTCACAAATAACTGCACTCATACGTACAAAAAACATTCTACAATCTGTATCCAAGGTTGAATAATACACGATTATTTGTTTAGTTGTGTTTCAATAAACTTACCATAATTTACTAATAATTTTCAAACTTTTTTTTGACAAGTAATAAACTTAGATTCAAGAGTCATGGAAATGATTCTACTACTCCACACTCATTGTCGTGTAAACATGGTAGCCTTCTTAAATTTCGAGTCGTCAACGTTTTTTGGTTAGGGGAGTATTTTCACGATCATCTAATAGCATATTATATACCAACGGGAATGTATTTCATTATTAGTCCATGATAGGAGTTTGTAAATCAGCAGTTGATTAAACTATAAACATACTATTGCGAAAATACGAACAATTGGAAATAAATATCTAGTTGTTTGAATTTTGTAGCGAATATATCTATACCGGTGATTTCGGCTAATAGATATCTCATCTAAAGCTTCTAAATGTCATGGGGAGGTTTAGAATTGAGAAAGTTCTCTTCCTCTTTGAAATATTCGTTTATTGCCTCCTCCAGGGAAGTTTCACCTATCATCACACATTGGAAGGTGTCTCTGCAAAGTGAGAGGTCAGAAACTAGCATCTGATTTTTAAATCGAGTCTTGAAATACGAAGGTTTTACCTAATAAAGTTAGGAAATTCTCATTTCAAATCACGGGTGCGCATTAGCTCCAGGATCTTAAGAGACTAAATATCCTACGAACATACTGTCCTCAACAATTATCACAGAACTTCATCTGACTCTTCCTCACTTTTTATTTATTCGGACACATAAACATTGGTACAAGGAGGCACCAAACAGATATGCATCACATAAATCATTCGGTTTGTGTGAGGGCTGGGATACTTCCCGGGTGCCCAAGCAGCTGGTTCTCCCGGGGGGGGGGGCACACCCCGAGCCTTTGACCCAAGAGTCTAATCCACAAGACAGCGGGGTAACGTCAGGCGATGCAGTCCCATGGTAGCCGGTGATCAACAATTGGTTGATACGCCATTTTTTCCTTCAGGATCCTAGAGTTCATGTGCCCCATTAGTTTGGAATCAGGGTTTTCCAACTCCTCTAGGTGGATCCTCCATATTCATCAACCCGGTTAATGCGTCGGACATTCGATTTTCGTCCTCTAAATTTCGTAAACAACACCCCCACCGCGAGAAGGCAGTGAGTAGGACTTCCCTGGCAGAGGCTATATATTCGTGGCCATGTGAGAGCATTTCGAGAGGGAAAGCGGACTCTCCCCACTCTCGGCCGTACCAGAGCATTTGGGGCCAAGTAATTCTCTATAGCTTTCTAATTTTATCAACATTGCCAACTTATGGATTTATATCATATGAAACACTTCACACTGCATAAACACAATTATTTTAGTTATTTCTCTGTCTTTAACGAGCACTTCGTTTTGTTACAGTATTAGATCTGGTGAGCTTGACTAAATTACCTTGCCTAAGTGAAGTTTCCCAGTAATTCATTTAGTATTCTTATTTTCAACGATATCAATTGATCAGGCATATCACTGATTCTTCAAAGTCATTACATTTAATATGTTGTATACTACGCAGAATTTCTTTTCTTCTTCCTAACAGCGCGACGAACTACCTTGACTACTGAAGTGATTACTCCACGTCAAATGCAACGACGTGGTGGTTATCGTCAAACAAACTGTAAATCTAGTAGTAATAATAATAATGCATTATCTAATTTTAAACCACGTAATATGAGTCATCCATCTCCGAATGGTGCAAATGTACATAACAAAATAAATCGACCAATCGCTTCAACATCAAATACAAATACTTCGAACTCTAATGCTGGTGTTAGTGGTGGTGGTCTTTTGAACAAATTGCGTAAACAATTCCATTCTGGTCACCTCAGGTAGAAAAAATGTTTCAATCACGTTAGTAATAATAATAATAATATTAATGGATGTTTCTCAACTGTATCATTCACAATAAACTTGTAAATTGACCCCCACATACATATGTCATGCACATAGCAACAAAATTCTCTCACTGTGATTCAACCTATTCCAAACTTGTTTTGCTCTATGAATTGTTATGGTATGACAAAATTAACAATCACTGTTCATCGTTTTTTTTTTCGAATTAGGTCCTCTTTTTTTTGATTGTACATTATATGTACAAATTGTAAAACAATTAATTTGTATTGTATATCGTACAATATATTGCTCAGGTATAAACTATCTCAATATCACTTGTTCTCATCATCAAATTGTTTTGCTCTTTTTTATATTTTCGTAAACCTTTTCTCTCTCTCTCTCTCTTGTTAATCCCTTATTGAGAATTGAAAATAAAATAGTAATAATAATAATAATTCCAACCATCCAACTGTCAAGACTTCTTCAATGCTTGAACAATTCTTTCTATGTTTATGTGTATGTAATTTGTATCTAGCACTATTCCTTTTATTGCCTATTCACACTTTTGATTCTTTTCATATTTCTTTACAATTTTAGTGTATTTATCATGGGAGAAATGTCAATGTTTCTAGTCTTTCTCTCTCTCTCTTCCCTATGAATTTGTTTCTCTAATTGTAATCATTATTTAATAATGGATCCAAAAAATCTCTTACTTCCTTTAATTCTATTACGTTCTGCTGTTATCTTTTTCTTATTTATTAGCCAAAATAAGTGTATGTACAAAATTTGAATTTTCATCATTGAAATCACAAATCGATCTAAGTCAGTAGTTGCACATGTATGCAGAACTTGAATCCAGGACCTCACGCATAATGTTCTGAATTAACTTAAATATTGATTCATGATTTCAACTGTGAAAATATCTTAATAATGAAATTGAATTTCTTAAGTATGAATTCCATTGGAAAGTGAATAATCTCTTATAGTTTCTTATATTCTGTAGTTGTTTGTTTTTGTTAAATGGTTTTTATCATTTATATTTTTGGTGTTCTATATTTTGTATATATATATAAACATATTACTGGTAATAATTGTAATGGTCCTAAGCCTTTTTCTTCTAATTTATTACGTAATCTTATCAGTTTGTCCTTTTTTTTCTTATCCTTTGTTTTTATTTTATTTTCGATTTCTTGTTGTTGTTGTTGAGTCCTTACTTACATATTTACTATTAATGACTTATACTCATACTCTTGAACTCCTCTCATTTAATCGATTGTTTCATTTGTGCCTTTCATATTGAATGAGTGTTGTTTTTGTTTATATTATTTAGGTGTCAAAGTATACATTCTATTAGTAATAGTATTTATAATCATAATATTTATGAAAATTTGTTCATTATATATATGTATCATGGTAAAATGCATATTGTTACAAACTATCATATCTCTTTATCTGTACTATGTATCCTGCTGTGATAGTGTTGTTCACTGGTCAAATGCAATAAATCTAAAGTTGTTTTCTTAATATTTTTTTTTAACTTATCCTGAAATGAAAACAAAACAAAAATGATATGAACTAAGATCATGTTGATTTAATAGTTAATTAAATGAACAAAATTGGATCAAACACCTTTGAAAAATTATGCCTGAAACTTATTCTTCAAGATTATGGAAGGAAATGACTATAAAGTACTTTAATAACATGTTTTTTGTAATAACATTTTCGATCCTGACAGTAAATAATGGAATTCAGCCTACTTAGTGGTAATTTTCAAAACAAACTGATATCAAATGGATGATCATTGAAAGCTATGGTAGGCTGAACAGCTTTTTCTTCCATATCTTAAACTTCAGTGCTTTTCAGACCTAAAGTCCTAGTGTGAAGCTGTGAACAATATAATCATCCAAGTTAGCAGTGGGACAATTGGATTTCAACTTGATAGTTTTATAATCTGAAGAAATGTTACTTGTCACGTAACATAAAGGTCCTAATTTCGACCTAGTTTAACGGCATATGCGGAGTTCCAAATTAGGACGAAAACTTACTTACTTACACCTGTTACTCCTCGTAGAGGAGCATAGGCCGCTCGCCATCATTCTCCATCCAACCCTGTCGTGAGCAATCCTTTCCAGGTGTTATTCATCCTTTTCATATCTGCTTCTTTTTCCCGACGTAATGTGTTCTTTGACCTTCCTCTTTTCTGCTTCCCTTCAGGATTCCAAGTTAGGGCTTGTCTCTTGATGTATGTAATGTATGTCTTATCCATTTCCATCTACTATTCCTACTTTCCTCTTCAGCTGGAAGCTGGTTTTTTCTATCCCTTAGTAGACTGCTGCTGATGGTATCCGGCCAATGGATGTTGAGTATCTTGCGTAGACAGCTATTCATAAATACTTATACCTTCTTGATGATGGTTGTAGTGGTTCTCTAAGTTCCACCTCCATATAGTAGAACTGTCTTGACGTTCGCCTGTATTTCTTCTAGAGTTACTGCCGGTCCTAAGCCCGGGTAGAGGAGGAGGGTTGGACATGGGGTTAGTGACCCCATCCCGTAGAAAACTAACTCGCTAAAAAAACGCTAACCATAAAAAAATAATTCAAACCGGACGAAAATCACTCTTCACTATACCCTGGTCGTTGTTTCTATAATCAAACACCTAGTTCTTTAGTAACCTGAGCTACAATGTGAAAAACACTTCTTTGCACTGTAATGGTTATTCTCAAGTTAACAGGATACCCCGGCATCTATTTCCAAATAAGTGCTATTCTGTGGCTTATTTAACCATATAAAAGTACAATCTGAACGTAATACTCATTATTATCTACATTACCATAACAGATGTTAACAATTCTATATTCCTCATTGTTGACACTGTAACTATTATAGGCCAATATAGTATTTATTCCATTTTCATTGTTTAAAACATCCTTACAAGTCGTCATAAATCAAACTCTACAAACTACAATATAGTTCCATGTTTTATTATCTTATTGTTAGAAACGTGTCTACGGTTGATTTTCTTTTTTTCCTACTTGATTCTTTTCTATTCATACGAACAGAGAATTAGTGATTAAAGAGAATCAAAATACTTGAATGGATTTTCAATATTTCCATCTACTTTCTCATTTACTTTTCAGTTGTACAATATAAACAATAAATAGGGATATAGAAAAGTGATTAGTAAATAAATAAATGTAAATTCTTCGTAAGCTTTTTTTTTCATTTACGAAAAAAAAACCAGTATAGATTTACATGAATGATTCTGTCTTATTTTCTTTCCATTAATTCTACCTTATAATGATAATTATACTTGATTGTATAGATAAACTTTTATTAAAATCTATTTGTACATTCAAACAATCAATAATTATTCCAATAATCAATAAATGAAATATTGATTTCGGTACTAAATTGTTTTATAATGTAAAATGAACTCATTTATGATTCGTTTTTAAATTATTGTTTCTCTCATTAATTCTTATTAATTTATTGAAGAAAAAAAATCTAATCAATAAGTTTATATTATGGACGTATTTTAATTAAATAACTATATTAAACAATGATCTCAAAACGACTAGTCACTGTAAGGTTGCTGCTGCTGCAAAAGGCTATAGGGTATTATGGTCAATTCGTAGGTCTTTTCAGTATTTAGATGATGAAATGTTTGGATTACTATATCCGATTTATGTGCGACCACATTTAGAATACGGGATTCAAGCAGTGAGTCCTTGTTTCAAATATGAAGCAGATATGCTAGAAAGAGTCCAACGATGAGCTACTAAGATGGTACAAGGTCTAGCTGGCCTATCTTATGAAGACAGACTGAGACACCTTAACTTATTTCCGTTATCTTACCGTAGAGTACTGGGTGATCTAATATTGGCTTATCGTATACTGAACAATGACTTTAGTATTAATGTCTTATCTTTTCATTTCGTCTACGACTGATCATTTGAGAGGACATTCGAAGAAAGTTCAGAAACCGAGATCAAATCGTTTACGTCTGGAGTTTCGTTTCTCGCACCAAGTAGTGAATTACTGGAATTCCCTACCGGAACACGTAATATCAGCACCGTCTGTTAATATATTCAAAACGAGATTGGACCTCCACAGTATTACAAACTTCAAGCATTAATATAGGTCGACAGACCTCCTATCCTTATTACTGAAGACTGAAAGTTAAGAAAATAATTGAACATTGTGTAATTTAAACCATCACCAATAAACTAATTATATTCATTAAAAATTTATAATTCAGATAGATGTATTACAATTACTTACTTACGCCTGTTATTCCTAGTGGAGTATAAGCGGCTGACCAACATTCTCTAATCCACTCTGTTCTGAACCTTCCTTTCTTCTTCTATCCATTCTTCTTATGTCTGTCTTCATTTCTTGGCGTAGCGTGTTCTCTGGTCTCCCTCTTCTCCTTTGGCTTTGAGGATTTTATGTGAGGGCGTGCCTTGTGACACAGTTGGGTGCTTTCCTCAATCTGTGTCCTATCTACTTCCAGTGCTTCTTTCTGATTTATTCCTCCACTGGAATCTGGTTTGTTCTCTCCCACAGTACGTTGTTGCTGATAGTGTCTGGTCAACGGATCCGAAGTATTTTGCGTAGGCAATTGTTAATAAACACTTGTATCTTCTGGATGATGGCTTTCGTAGTTCTCCAAGTTTCCGATGTATTAAAATTGCTACTCATAAAGCTCAGAAGGTATATGATAATGATGTATCATAGAGTATAACCTCCATCAATCGTAATTGGTCACTTCAAAGCTTCATTTTAAAAGTCACACGTGGACATTATTTAAGGATAGAAAATGACGGAGCATGCATCAAGATAGGAGGGAATGTTTTTATGTTAAGAGCTTGTAAGCTGGGGAATTAACTTTTGAATTAGATGGTGATGGTATCTTCCGTTGATCTCTCTGGCAAAAGATATGTGATTTACTTTGTAACTAGCGGTAATGAGGTAGGTTGCTCTAGACACTTGGATTTAACTGTTCGTACTAACGTTTTACTTTTAGGTTCCTGAAGGACTAATACGAGGACTGTCTTTCTGTATATAAGAACTATTTTTTAACATTTTAATTCAAATCTCAAGGAACAATCAGTTTTTGATGGAGTTTTGTTTTCTGAGTTGGATGGTTTGGTCGTGGAGCTTTCATCGTTCTTCTGAACGATATCATCAGCACAAACTCAAGGTAGAAGTCTACTTGACTTCTGCTCCACGACCAAACCATTCAACTCAGAAAACAAAACTATCAAAATTACCCACCTGAGCTAAAAATCCCCACCATCGCAACAGTCAGTTTGTTATTTATGTTTAGAAAAGTTCGATTCGCAAACTCATCATTTTCGGACTTCTAAAAGTTGGTCCATGATACAAATCTATATTAGCGTTTGGACGTAATAAACAATACTCAAATTAAAGACAGTTTTGATCATGTTTATTCAGTCAGTCATGTGCAACATAGAACCGGGGTTATGTGTGTATTTGTGTCATTTACCACAGCGTGGATCAATATAAGATCTAGAATAATTTGAGGCTAATCATATCAAAATAAGTCATTCATGCTGCTTCTATAATTCTTGATTGATTTCATATGGGAGGCCACTCAACTTTGCAATCAGTACCTTTAGAGATATGCTAATGAGCTCTGTCAATCAAACAAAGAGTCGAAATTCATTGGTTAACATTTCGAAACTAGTTATTTTATGAAGTGTGGCACAACAAGAATATGGTACCTTGATGATCCTTGACTCTTAGGACACTTTAAAAAAAAACTTATCAATTCTTTCTCCTGACTGATAGGCAGAAGGTCAACTTCTTAGTAATTTTCAACTCCTCTACAGTCAAGCAGCTATATAATACATTCATAATAAACATTGAGTTGTGGAAGTGGAAAAATACATACGAACTGTACAGAAGAGTCCGTTCGATTTTTTTTATTAGTCATAGGAGTAACTCGATATGTTCATTACTCTGTGTATGCAGAAAAGCAACCAATGATATTGAATACTCAAGAATGTAGTACGTTGAACACTTCTGATGCTGACTTCCTAGACTTTTATGGCATTAACTACTTGAACGGAAAACAAGGGAGAAGTTCTACTTTAGTCAGTTTATGTACAGAAAACGAAAGCTTCTAGAAAATTTTGATAATAAAATCCGGCAATTTTCAAACTAGATCAATTCAAGGTTTAAGTAGGTAGTTTCTAGATTTTTTTAGAATTTTTTTTAAAGAGCGCTGATTATTTAGAATGTTCCAGACGTATTTCCCGGATTCTGGAGATCTTGTCAAGAACTTAAAAATGACTCAACACTTACTCCCGTTACTCCTCCTGGAGGAGCATAGGTTTCCCATCATCATTCTCCACCTATGTATCCTGGACATTCCTTTTCATGTCTGCTTCCAATTCCGGGTCCAGTATGTTCTCTGGTCTTCCTCTTTTCCTTTCAGGATTCCAAGTTAGCGCACACTTTGTGATGCAATTTGACGATCTCCTCAGTGTATGTTCT